GGGTGTAGGGGCACCTTGGCGAGAAAAGGGTAAGACCTTGGGGGCCCCATAGGGTGATGAGTCTCAGGAGCGATCGTGGCCTCATCGCTCTAATGTGGTCATCTAATTCTTGAGCCACTTCATCACCACCAGAATCAGCCTTGGTGGGAGAGGAGACTGCTTCAGGCCTGAGAACAACACCCCCTCGTGACCAGGACCCCTCTGCTCACTCGGCAATAATCACTACCCCACCCCACCATTTTGGTGCAAAATGTTTACTTTTTTTTGGCTATATAGTAGGTCCCTGTTGGTTCAGAACTTTTACTTTCCAGGAGAATTAATAGCCGGCACATGTGTCCGTGGAGTGAAGGAAAGACCAGCTCAACCTTTGCCTCTGGAAGCTAAAGAGGAGAGGACTGGGGGTGGGGGGCGTGGGGGAGGTGGGGGGAGTTGGCGGGGTGGGATGTGTCCCCGGGAGCCCTGGAGCAGCCCTGAGATCGCCCGCCTTTCCCCGGGGTTCCCAGTCGGCTCTGTGCTCCGCGACTCTGGCTGCTGGAGTCTGGAGCTGGGGGTGGGGAGGGGGCAGAGAGGGGCCAGCCCTGGGAGTTCCCACCAGCCCGCGCCTCAGGATCACAACTTTTCCCCTTCCCGAGAGAAAACAGTGTTATTATTATATTTCTAATTCCCTAATGTGTGACCCAGCAGCCCGTATCATCTTACGGGATGGAGTGCTGGGTGCAGGGCGGAGGTGTGATCGGAGCTTTCATATCCCCCCCGCCGGCCCTTACATCATCCCGCCACTCTCTAAGAGGATTTTCAGCCGGCTTGGCTTCGTTATTAAAATAGTAATTAATTTTTTCCTCTTCACAAAACCCAGGGGCCTTGAGATGGAGGCCTCGGCAGCGAGGGCAATCTCCTTTTGAAAGTGGCCTTTCTGGAAGCCGTAATCGGCTCCCTGGCTGTACAGTACACATGTTCTCCAGTAAATGTGATTAAAGAGCCGCACAAAAACCCCCTTGCAGAAAATTAATTCAGTTTCCAGAATAAAAAGTTTGATAAAGTTGTGCAATGCTCCAATGACAACACATAATAGAAGGGTAGAGTTTTATCCCCTTGAAGGATAAATGAGTGGCCAGAAAGGTCTGGTAGTTCCCAGAGTAAAAACATCTGCTACAGCTAATTCACGTTTGCCGGCCGCACTGTGCCGCGGGCGGCCGGCCTTGCTGCTGTAGGATGGTTGTGGGCGGGAGTCTCTGCATCCTCCTCAGCCCCTGTCAGGGCCCATCTGGCTCCACACTGTGCCCAGTAGTCCCCAGAGGCCCCGAGGGGCTGGGGACCTTCATTTCTATTCCACGGGCCTGTGTGCAGGAGAGGCTTAAGACCTGGTGGAGGCCCTGCTACTTACGAGCTCTTCCCTTCTCCACACCTCAGTCTTGAGCTCTGTGAGACAAGACTAATATGTCTCCTTTCGGGGTTATCATGGGGATTAAATGCAATAATAAATCTAGAAGGCTGGCCACTGTTCCTGCCACAGGAACTGCTGTCAGGAGCTGCAGGCGGAGTAGGGTGGAGGGAACATGGCCCCCAGGGGAGCTTCTTCTCCTCTGAGGGCAGAACCGGCCTTGTGTCCTGAAGAGGGTTGACCAGGCCCCCCCAGGCATGTCCCCCTGGAACTTCAGAGACCTTCTGTCAGGTCTCTGCTGACTTGATTCGTGAAGGGCCACAGGATGGAAGTGTCATGCACGCAGAGCGGCCCTGACTCTGCTGACTGGTGTCCTGATGAGAAGAGACGCAGAGAGAAGCTGCTGGTCGGAGGGGTGCAGCCACAGACAGGAGCGCCTGGGGCCCCAACAACTGGGGGGCAAGAAGGCTCCGCCGTAGCCTCTGGAAGGAGCTCGGCCCTGCAGGCACCTTGAGCTCAGACTTCCCGTCTCCAGAAGAGAGAGAGAATAAATTCCGCTACTCTGGGCTGCCAAGTTTGAGATAATTAGTTAGGTTGCCTGGAGACCAACAGGGAGGGTCAGTCCTTCTTTTGGGAAGGTTGGACCCAGAGACTAGGGTCCTGGGCTCATCCAAGCTCCTGGTAACCCTGTAGGGGGAGTAGGGAGCACTGCCCGGGTCAGCCTCAGTCCAGTGGTGCCAATGCCTGTGTGGAGGGAGGATGAAACACGGGAGGCCTGTATGTGATGGAGGGTGGGCGAGACGCAGGAGGCCTATCTGTGATGGGGGGTGGAGCAGACGCAGGAGGCCTGTCTGTGATGGGGCGTGGAGCAGATGCAGGAGGCCTGTCTGTGATGGAGGGTGGGCGAGATGCAGGAGGCCTGTCTGTGATGGAGGGTGGAGCAGACGCAGGAGGCCTGTCTGTGATGGGGGGTGGAGCAGACGCAGGAGGCCTGTCTGTGATGGAGGGTGGGCGAGATGCAGGAGGCCTGTCTGTGATGGAGGGTGGAGCAGACGCAGGAGGCCTGTCTGTGATGGAGGGTGGATGAGATGCAGGAGGCCTGTCTGTGATGGAGGGTGGAGCAGACACAGGAGGCCTGTCTGTGGACAGAGGGTGGAGCAGACACAGGAGACCAGTCTGTAGGCTGTGACTTCTCTCTGAAGACACTTGAGCAGAAGAGTTGGGAGCTGTTTTGGGTGGTGACCCATGGCCTCTGATCATACTGAGTGCCGTCTGGGAGTGGGGCACAGACCATGAGTTGGTCAGGCTCCCCTTTGGCAGTGCTGGCATCTTACCAGTAATGGGTGTGCAGGAGCTCTGCCCACCGCTGGGGACCAGCCTGGCCAACCGCTTGGCCCAGGGCATTCCTGGCCTCCCTCAGCCACTCCCCCGCTCGGGGCCGTCTCCTGGCCGCTGACCCCGGTCCTCGGGTCTGCATCGGGAAGGGAAGGAGCTCCTCTGTTCGCCTCTGCCCACCTGTCCCTGCACCTGCCAGGACCCCAACAAGGAGATATGGGAGGCAGCCCTGCGCTCTCTCCTATGGACTCAGGGTATCAGGGCCCGAGTCTTGCGCCCTCTGACTGTGTGCTCGCTGGGGGCACCATGGTGGGGGCACCTAATGTCTACACCGAGCATGTCCTCTGCTCCGCTTCTCTGGCTTTTGGAGAATTGCCTGCCTGCCTGGTCCATTGCAGGTTACAGCAGCCACTGGAAAAGGGAGCATAAGAAAGAAAAATGCTCCCCATACGTGTCCTTTAGCACTAAAAAGTGCGTTTGCATTTGTATAAAAATAAATTCAGCTTTTCAGGAAGAATTGTATCAGAAAGAAAGTTCATGGATATCATGACCTTCCATGTGGCTGATTTTACTTCCTAAGATGAAAAGAAACAGATTTTCACAACCGAGGACATAAAGAGACCATTCACCTCCTCAAATGCAGAGTGCACTCTGCACAGTTTCCCAGGAAGTGTCTGCACTGCAATAATTGTTAATATACCTGAGTGAGACGTTGTCCTTCTTGTAGGCAACGGTTCCTGCAACTGGAAGGTGTGAACAGGACGATTATCAGCAATATGCTCTTGAAATTCCTCCAAGCTGCTGTGGCGGGACACGCGAGAGCCAGGAACGGTGTGTGTTCTGCTCTGTCTTGCTGGCTCTTCTTGTCGTGCACCTTCAGAATCAGAGACACCAATTTTATTTCGTTTCTTAAAGTCAGTTTAATAAGTTAATTGAGCTGAAGTGAACATCCGATCTGATCTGAAAGGTACTTTACTTGGGTGAATTGAGGCCACAGCCTGTGTGAATATTCTTAGAAACAACTAGAGTATTGACAGCTTGAGAAACTACTGTAAACTTACAGGTTACACTTTTTTTTCCTCCTTCTTTGCCAGTCTTCCAGAGTCCGCATTGGGCCCCTAAGGTCCAGAGGGGAGCAGGGACCCCTATGCCAGTGTGATTGGAGCTGGCCCAGGTGTTGGGTACGGTTGCCACTCGCTGTAGGTGTGACTTCATCCTGTGGATGAAGACTCGAGCCACGTGGTCTGCAGGTTTCAGTGAGTTGTTTACGTGTCCTGCTTTTCTCTGAGGCGAGGGCGGCTTTGGGGACCCCTCTTGTCCCCTTTGGGGGACGGCCCAGCCAGAGAGTCTTGGATGGGTGTGGAGAATGGTGTCTGGTACTCAGCAAACAGTTCGTTAGTGTTATTTATTGTTTTAAGTTACCATCATTACTTAACTACACCATACTCAAGACTTCCATATTTGAAACTGAAAACCCTGAAGCTCCCCTGACGTGCAGTATGGAAAATTAATTCTTTACATCGTCTAATATTTTATTCCTTTTATTTCCAACCATGCTAACCCGGGTTCCACCTTTGATTCCCTGCTGAGCTCCGACCAGCAGGATGTGTGAAGTCCTCCCCCGCAGCCCAGATGGGCTCCTATTCAACTTCTTGCAGGTATGAGGCTAATGGTTCAATTACTTGTGGGGCGAGATCAAAGGACAGGAAATGGCTGTCATGCCCCAGAGGAAATATTTGTAGAGAAGGAGGCCCGGCAGCAAATGAAGCCCTAATTAATGTCCAAGTCCCAGGCTGATAAACGGACCACAGTCATAGGCAGACCCAAGCTGGTGTTGGGGCTGCAGTGGTCCTGTGAACTCACAGCAGAAGGAAGCTCCCTGTTTCCAGGGAGTCAGGGCTGGAAGGAAGGATGGGGTCTCCTGGGGCTCCTTCAGGGAGGGTCCCAGGCGTGCCTGAGCCCTCCCCTCGGGTCGGCAGTTTCACTGCTGCCATGAACTCTGCCTGGGCCCCCAGCCCGCTGCAGGGTAGGAGGGATGGTGGGACTTTTGAAGGAAAAGGACTCTCACCTTCACACTGGGCTTGGAATTTCTGGGAACTTAGACATGAAGGAAAGTTTGTATGTTGAGTGAAAAGACAGGACAAGTTAGCATTTTTCTTGACTCCACAGTCATCATTTAATAAGGAGCTGGAGTGGGGGTGGGGGACGTGGGGGGCAGTGATGGGGTCAGGGATGGCAGGGCGAGGGCCCCTCTTACATAAGACACCTGATGCTTTGTGTTCAGGTGATCGTAAATCAGTGCGCTTAAATCCAAATGGAAAGTGGAAAAGACACAAAATCTGCAAGGACTGTGTTCTCTACAGCCAGGAGGTTAATGAGGGTGTCCTGGTAGCTGCTCCTGCAGAGCGAGCCGCATCCGGCCTGCAGGAGAGCGCTGGGCCAGCGAGGAGAGGGGCCCGACGCCGGGCCGTGTCCTGCGCGACCCTCTCATCTGGGCTGTCCCAGGCAGGGCCAGCGAAGTCCCTCACAGGTACTAGAAACACATGTGTAACACGGACTGGAAAGCCAGCATCGTTTCCGACTGGGACGTCCCCCCGCTGTGGGAGGACACAGCCATGTTGTCTCAGGATTAGACCCAGGTCTGACTGAAGGGCTGCTGAAGGAGCAGGGAAGTCTCCATCAGCTGTCATGGGATCAATTATTTCTGGTACAGGATCCGAGAACCACATCCCGGGGGTGGATTATTTTTGGGAGGTGCTGATGAGTGAGTGCCAGGAATAATAATCTGACATTAAGCTTTTGCGGATCTGACCAAATGCATGTCTAAGAAGAAAATTTATGGGAATTCAGATTGTGTGCGAGTTCATGAATGCATTTCTTCTCGAATGTAAATGACAGAAAAATTATTCATTATACCTTTAATCAAACTGTGAGATGAATAGATATTGAAAATGTGCACAGAGACTATTAAAATGACACCAAAAATATGGCTTCAATCAACAAGAGAAAAGGCGTGCAAAGTGAGTCTTGAAAACTCTGACAAGGTTGCCTCTGTTGTCTTGGGTCAGGAGGTTCTTAATGCAGGAGCTTAGTGGCTGGGGCCCTGGACGTGCTCCAGGCTCTCCCCGTGGGACGCCTTGCCCAGGAATGCTGTTTTAAGGTAGAGTTTTCCCTGTGATCTGAGTATTGCCGTGGATTTTGCAGAATAACATAGGAATAAAGTCTCAGCAAAGACTGTGAGAGCAAATGAGTCCCTGGGCTGCTCAGAGAAACCTGGAATGGGAGGGGGGTCTTTCGTGGAGGAAGAAGGGGGGAGGGGGTACTCAGGTTGGGGGGGGAAGAGGGGAGGGGGTGCTCTGCTGGAGTAGTGTTCAGTAGTGGGAGGAGCTGCTCTCCCCCGCCACCTGCTCCCCTCCAATCCCCTGCCCCAGGCGGCTCTGAATCGAGCTCTCCATTTGAGCTTCATCAAATCTCTGACTTTTCAGGTGAAAGTTGTTCCCAGCCATCTCCCTCAAGTCCAAGGGGTCAGACGGCATCCTGGTTGGAAGGGCCTTTCTCTCCCCCACGTTGAGGGGCCTCTGTGGCCCAGCGATATTTGGGGAGGGACTTGGGTATGTGGTCCCAAGCCCAGCCCTGTGATCCCTGTGATCTGGTGAGTTCAGCATGTGCTGTGCATGGGCCAGCATCCCGGACCTTGTCCCGTGTAGGCCATGAGCTGGACGTCGCGAGGTCTCAGCTCAGCGTTTGCGGGAGTCCCCTCACCGTCCTCCACATCTTCCAAGGTCAGGTCTTGTCTGAGAGTCTTCATCTGTGTCTTCATTGTCAGTGGTCCCATTCCTCTCACTGGATGGATAACATATCAACGTGACGTCACATCCACTTAACTGATGAGAAATAGCATTAGAGAATCATGTGGAAAGGATTTTTGTTTAGGTGCCTGATGCTGATAGAGAGGCATGGGGCATTTTTGAAAGGACTGTCATGGGCATGGCCTGGAGACACCACAAGAACCTTCCTGGCTGAGGTGGAGATGCAGTTGGCTCCAGAAGGACTGTCTGATGCAGACTGCAAAGGAGGGGATGGGGGTGCCCTGGGTGGGGGACACTGATGGGGAAGGACCCAGCCATGGTTCATCTACCACAGACAGGGTCCAAGCGACCAGCTCTGGGAGCGGGGAAGGCATTGACAGAAAAAAGATGGGTTCCTGATGTGAAGTGATGAGTGAGTGGCGTGGGCTTTAAATAAAGATGGTCAGAACCAGAGGGGAATAAGCTTCCTTCTGACCTCCAGTCAGCTCTGGCACTGTTACAGCTTTAGAAACCTTCCTCGTGAGAGAAGCCGGGAAGTTAGCGACAGAGGCACTGTCTAAATCACCATGAGCCTCCCCCAGGTCATGGGTGGGGTGCAACGTCACTTTTGTCCTGTGGGGCGGTGGGCGGGGGGAGGCCAGGGCTGAGAGTGATGCCGGGGTCCACCTCCCATCACCACCTGCTTTTCTGGGCTGGGCCCTGTGGGGTGGGGCGGGAGGAGCCCTGTGCAGTCCCAGGGTGCCCTGTCGCAGGGCCCGGTGCCTGCAGCCAGGTGGCCTCTGAGGCCGGCTCTGGGGATGTGGCCACGATGCCTAAAGACAGCAGCGCCACCACCTGGCCCCCGGAGGGCCCAGCACTCATGCCCCTTGGGAGCCCACTCTCCAACCACGGCTCGGTCGTCCAGACCAGTCCTGGGCATCAGGAGGCTGGGGACCGGTCTCACCTGCAGGGAGGGTGGCCATTCTTGAGGACTGGGCTGGACGACAGCTGGGGGCAGGCTCTCTGTCTGCTGCAGGGTCCCTGGGGGAGGGGAGGAGGAGGGAGGCCCCGGGCAGTCTGCGTGCAGGAGTCCCAGCGACCCCCTTCGGAAAGGCTGGTGGGCTCAGGGCATGCCTTGTGCCGGTCCATGGTCTGACCGCCAGGCTGGGGGAGCTGGACAAGCCAGGACGGTTGGCTCACGGGGACAGGAGAGCACCCCAGCACGTCCCGGGGGCCAGGTTGGCCCCGTGCTGGCCCTCGGCAGCAGCCTTCCCCTCCTGCACACCAAAGGCCGGGCTCCACAGCTCGCTGTTTATGAGATGAGGACAGCCCGGAAACGCATACCCTCCATGGCCGGGACAGAGTGGCCTGTGGGGTCTGCTCTGCTCCATTTCTGTGGTGCAGCTGATGCCCCCAGCCTCCCTGGGATGGAGACCAGCCTGCTTTGAGTCAGAGGAGGCAGTGAGCTGCAGGAAGCATCGCTGTCCAGCCTGGAAGCAGGCCTCTTTTGGGCGACCTGTGACCTGCTGTGGGTTCCTTCCTGGGGGTGCGTCTGCCTGGCCCAGTCCTGGCCTTGCTGTGGCGCTGGTCCTGTGGAGCCAGGCTGTGTCTCCCTGAAGTCACCTCGCTTTTCCTATCTGCTGACTGTCTGCTTCCTACGATGCTGGGAGCAGACTCCTCCCTGAGCAGAGTGGGGTCTTAGGTATGTCCGAGTGTGTGGTGGGTGCCCGAGACCTCCGCAGTCTGCACTGTCCCCCTCCTCTTCTTCCTTCTCCTGCTTCCTCTCCCTCAACCTCCACCCTCCGCAGAGGAAGCAGGCATCCCCCATGCACCCAGCTGCTCAGAAAGGCGGGCCCTGTGGCGACACCTGGACAGGGGCTGGCCTTCAGAAAGAACCAGGGGAAGCTCTGGGCTCACCCACCCCCATCCAGGGCCGGGGTCGCCACCAGATCGAGTGCCCGGGTGGGGAATAGCCAGCGACCAGGCAGGCTGAACAGTGCTTGCTAGCATCCAGGGCCCACAGCAGCAGGAGAGCCAGCTGGCGGCTGTTGGAAGCTGGAGGCTGGCGTGAGGGCGCAGATTCTGCGTGGCGGCGAGCAGAGCCCCTTGCCTCCTCTTCTGTCCTCTCTCTCTCGTGAAGCCCTTTCTCCTATCAGATAAGCAGCTTTGCAAAGCCGCTTTACTGAGGTGTATGGGACATGAAGAGACTAGGTGTCTTTAAAATGCACAATTGAGTCAACTTGACCCAATAGTCTGCCTGCAAAGCCCTCACCTCAGTCCTGATGGCGACCGTGTTCATTCATCTCAGAGTCTCCTTGTGTCTCTTTGAGATCCTCACCCCACTCCCACCTTCCCGACTCTTGTCCCCAGGCGGCTGTTAACCTAGCTTTAATTTCCTTCAATTTTCTATAAATGGAATCAGAAAGTATGTACTTTGGCTTTTGACCTGGCTCCCTTTACTCGGCAGTTGTTTGTGCTCGGTCGTGCCGTAACCTGCACCGAGTCAGTCCTGCCGATGGGAGAGGCTTCCACTCATGGATGTGCCAGTCTATTTATCTTTTCACCTTCTGATGGGCTTGTTGGCTGTTAGTGACAAAGCTGGAGGGAACGTCTGTGTACAAGTCTCCATCTGTACATGCTCCCTCTGCTCTCGGGTGAATACCTGGGGTTGCAGAGGTGGGGGTGACGGTAACTACATCTAGATCTTTCGAAGATGCAGCCAGTTCTTCTCCAAAGAGGTTGTCCCCTTTGATGGTCTCATTGGCAATGAATGAAAGCTCCTTTTTCTCCATGGCCTGAGCAACCAGGTCTTTTAACTGGAATCTTTCTGGTGTCAGCTTGCATGTGTTTCTCTGATAACCAGTGATACCCAGCACTTGCTAGCTATACATCACCTGGAGTGACGTGTCTACGAAATACTTTGCCTGCATGAGAAACTAGGTTGCTTCTTTTCTTCATAGTGATTTGAGAACTCATTTATTCTGGATGTGAGGCCTGTGTCAGATATAATATATTATCTGAAAATATTTTCTCCCAGTTTTTATAAAGATAACATTTCCTTGGTGGCTCAGTTAGCAAAGAATCTTCCTGCAATGCAGGAGATCCAGGTTCAATCCCTGGGTCAGGAAGATCCCCTGGAGGAGGGAATGGCAACCCACTCCAGTATTGTTGCCTGGCCCGTCAGGCTACAGTCCACAGGGTGACAAAGAGTCGGACACGGCTGAGCTACTAGCACTTCCCTTTCAGAAAGTCATAGTTCCTAGTTTTCGATCTTTGTTAATATCTGGAAGGGGCTGCACAGTGTGAACCAGCACGTCTAGTGCCCAGTGCGGGGGCAGCGTCACGTGTGCACAGAGAAGGCTCAGGAGCGAGCAGCGCAGTGTCCAGCTGGGCAGGGGTGGGTGGTAGGTACAGGCTGCGGGCATCACTTTGAAGGGGGGCAGAGCCTCCGAAGGCTCTTCTCTGAGGAACTGGGATGAGAAGGATGGGCCTGCACATGAATTTTGGTGAAGACTTCTGAAACACCAGATTTCATGGGCCTTCTCCTTGGCCTGCTCCCAGACAGAAACAAAGCCCTGGGGGCCTCTCCTGCACCTCATGGTGAGACCCCCAGCTTACAGGCGGCCCTGACTCAGCACAGATGCTGGATGAAATCGGCTGGTTTCCATGTCGGGGAGGAGCAAGAAGCCCACCTTCTCTCCATCTCTGGGTCACTCTCTGGCTATCTTCTCTTTAAACTTGTGATAGCTGTACAGTGGAAGAGAACCTTCATACCTCCGTGGTCACCCCTGCTCTTTTAGTGCTTCTCTGAGCCCTTGAAGTGGACGAGGACAGGTTCTTTTGTGCTGACTGAATTTCTGGAAGAAAGTATGCAGGTTTCCTATGGTTTTCTTTTCACTACTCAGCACACAGCTTCTGCAGTTTCAGGTCAAACCTCAGGAGTAAATGGGAGAAACAAAAGGCAGCGCCCGAGGCAGAGACATCACATGAAGATGGGGATGAGCTTCCCCTCTGGCAATAAGGCTCTGTCTCCCACAAAGTCACTCAAGAAACTGGTTTTGATACACCTGGTGCACAAATTCATCTCAAGAGGACAATCTCTTACAATGTGGGTTTAATCTGTGAGGTGGAACTTCTGGAAGTGTCTTCATTGTTCAGGTGCCACAGGGACAGGCGTGAAATGGTATCTCTCATGTGAGGTCATGACTCAGTGTTGTCATAAGAACACAAATGCATGGGGACCCTGAGATATTCCTGCTGATTCCAGGGCTTCACACTCCATCTAGGGTCTCTCTCCCAGTTACTCCTGGGATTAAATAGTGGATGTCTCCAGAACTGTGGTCCCCAGAGCTGTGGTTTCCAGAGTGTGGTCTCCAGGGCTGTGTTCTCCAGGGCTGTGGTGCCCAGGGCTGTGGTATCCAGGCTGTGTTCTCCAGGGTGTGGTCCCCAGGGCTGTGTTCTCCAGGGTGTGGTCCCCAGATATGTGGTCCCTAGAGTGTTGTCTTCTGGGTGTGATCCTCAGGGCTGTGGTCCCCAGGGCTGTTTTCTCCAGGGCTGTTGTCCCCAGGGCTGTGGTCTCCAGGGCTGTGGTCCCCAGGGCTGTGGTCCCCAGGGTATGGTCTCTAGGGTGTGATCCTCAGGGCTGTGGTCCCCAAGGCTGTGGTCCCCATGGCTATGGTCCCCAGGGCTCTGGTCTCCAGAGTGTGGTACCCAGGGTTGTGGTCCCCAGGCTGTGGTCTCCAAGGCTGTATTCTCTAGGGTGTGGTCTCCAGGGTGTGATCCTCAGGGCTGTGGTCTCCAGAGTGTGGTCTCCAGGGCTGTGGTCCAGGGCTGTGGTCTCCAGGAAGCCACACTCTCCTCCTCCTTCTTCATGTAGATATGTTTCCTACCACTGTTGACCTCACCCCTCCAGGAGGACTTTCAGCCAGTAACTCTCCAAGTCACTCATTGGTAGGGAAATCATGGGATGGGGGCTGAGCCCCTAAATAGACAACGGCTCCATCCTTAACAGTTCACCTTACACTGTTGCTGGGCTCCCAATGGCACAATAAAGAGACATCTGACCTTGAATCAGACGATGGAAGATCCATGTGTCTTAGACTCAACTTAGGTGGTTCCGTGGTGACTAAGAAAGCAATGCTGTAACAGCTGGGACTAAACTCTTGGCTCTGTGGCTGCCTTGGGCTGTGACGAATTAGCTGGTCCCTTCCTCATGTCCTTCTGTCTCTGACAGAATTAAAGGAGGGACAACCTCTGGGGTGCTGTGAGATGAAGTTAGGGTTAGGTGCTGTTGACACAGAACTGTTCCACGTTAGTTACTGCTGCTCATCTTCATGACGAGGCATGGCTTGTGCCGTGGCTCTCAGGGTCCCAGTGATGCCCTGCATTCTGGCTCTTCCACCTCCACCTCAGGCCTCAGCGCTGGTTCAGGCAGGATAGAGGAGGCTTAGTGTTGAGTCTCAGGCATTGAATTCTCTGCTCTTTTATTTCAGCATTCTTGAAACAAAACCAAGCAAACAAACATCAAGCAAATAAAAAGTGTCCTTCTCCAATAAAAATTAAAAAAGCAAGCAAGCAAGCTGTCATGTGCATCTGCTCCTCTGGACGATGTCAGAAAGTTCTCAGGGTGATGAGCCGGTCTCTTCAGTCCCCTGCCCTGGAGCAGACCCGAGGTGAAGCAGGGCCAAGGTCACACCCACCAGAGTGTCCACCAAGGTGATGGACAAAGACCGGGCAGCCCTGAGCTGTAGCCCAAGTAGCAGGGGGAGATGGGGGCCTTGCTCACCCAGCTGTGGAACTTAGAAAGACGGAGGTGGTGCCTGCAACTGGAGTCTGTGACCTGGGTTCTGGCCTGTTGAGCTGCCCAGAGTCCGGGTGGTTGATTAGGACAATGTGTCAAACTGAAAGGCTAGCTCCAGCCTCCATTCAGCTGCCGCAACAGTGCAGGCAAAAGGTGGGCGAGGAAGGGCCAGTCCCCTTGCACCACGTTTCCCCAGGCACATGCTTGGTGAGGGTCGGGGATGCAGGACAGGGGCCCAGGAGCCCTTGCAGCAGGCCCTGCCTCCCCAGGGACCTGGGCGCCCCGGGGAGACCATGCCTCAGCCAAGGCCTTGGGAAGACGCCCCTGAAAAGGGCCGGAAACAAAGGTCTGTGTGCGAGTGTGGCCTGCAGGTGGGGGCCTATTCTTTATTTTCCAGGATCTGCTCAGTCTTGTAAACTGAAGAATCATCAGAGAGGGGAAAGTGCTAGGTGGAAAAACATGGAGAAAATGTCATGAACTAAGCCATTCTCTTCAGCAAATTTAAACCTCTGACTCAAGATATCTTTCAGCAAAGATGTTAAGGGTCACCTTCAAAGAGCCTTGACTTACAAAACACTGCAACTTCCCACTTTATTTGATAACTTTCATATTTGGCTATTGATCCAAAACTCACGATATAGAAGAATATAGTACAGTAACATTATTCCTCAAAATAAAAGAGGATAATTATCTTAGCTTGGATGTAGATTTAAATTCATTTATCCAGATTGTCCCTAAATGCTGGATTGTTGATTTGAAAAATCAGCTACACTTTTAAGTAAACAGATTACATTATAGGTATGTAAAAATCTATTGATTAGAGTTGAAAATATGATAGTCCAGTCCCCATGTAACATATTATTATCATGTATAGATCCCAGGCTCTCAAGGGAGGGCCACAAATCTACGTAACTGGCTTTAGTGAAACTGTGTGTGCTCCTTTCTTTAAATGAACTGACAGATGTGAAAAACCACGTGGCCAGGCAACTCCCTGATGGCGCTGCAGCTGCAGGTCCTGAAAAGAGCAAGTTATTCCCACCGAGGCTGACATTTGCCTCCATTCACAGTAGTTCCTTCCGGATGGAGGTTTTCCTGGATTATGAGACATACAACTTTAAAAGAACCTTCCCACTTATGATCAAACTTTCAGTGTGTGTGTGGGGAAGGATGGAACATAGATGGAGAAACTCAACTTTCTTGGTGGAGGTGGAGAAAGTGTGTGTTGGAGCTTCAGGATGGAGCAGGAAAGGAGAATTTGTGCCCTTGGATTGACTTCTGTGATGCTGGGATTTGGGTTTATTTGAGGAAAGGCAACCCGACTCTCCTCGGACCCACCCAGATCCCCAACCATTATTCTGGGAATCTTTATTTTCAAACCAGAGGGAGGGTCTCTAGATGGGACCAGAAAGTATATTATGCTTTTATGGTTTCACATCTAATAGGTGAGTTGTTTTGGAAAAATCCCTTCTTGTTTATCTTATGCTACCCATGCAGACAATTCAGGGAAGACAGTGCCCAAGGAAGAGATAAAGTGCCTGAAGCCGGAGGGTTTCCAGCACACGTGCCTTCTCCGCAGTTTGGTTTTCTCCATCACTCCACCTCCTCTGCACCCCTTCTCCCAGACACTAACCCCCCTGACAGTGTCTGAAGCCTACTGAAGACTCAGTACATACTTTAGCCTGAACCCCCATCCCAGCAGGTTTAGCCTGGGTCAGGTTGCTGGGCACATGCGGATCTGGATGCTTGTGTCTTGTGCTCTGGACGCCGGTCCCTGGGTGTCCAGCTGGGCAGCATCCATCTCTCTCCATCCCATGGCATACTCCATCACCCCTTTCACAGGGACAGTCGAGGGCCCACAGGGTGGCTGCCACGTTCAGGGCACAGTGCCTGAGTGAGACGACGATGATGCTGAGGACAGTCCCTGGCCAAGGATGGTTCTGCCTTGGGGGCTCCGATCTGGTGCCCAGGGTAACAGGAGCACTGCCCCCGGTCCTGATGGAGATGCTCTGACTGCAGAGCTCAGCCTCGGGGGAAAGTACATCCTCTGGCACACGCATCTCCCGGTGCGCGCATCCTTCGGCACGCGCATCTCCCAGCACATGCATCCTCCAATGTCGTCTTCCACCTTACCCTGACAGCTTGGTGTTCTGGCCCTCAGACACGGTGAGACCCCAGCTCCGGTGAGCATCTAATTACCCCGCTTGGCCAGCATCCTCCCAGAGTCTGCCTCTCCTCCAAGGGACGCATCTCCACGGCTCATCCCTGCCTAATCGTCGTCCTCGGCTGTCCAGCTCTTTCCTGGCCTCTGTCCCATCCGAGATGGGACATCACATGGCCTGGTACCTGCTCCCGGTCTTTCTTTCTTGCTCTGCTTTGAGGGACAACAAATTTGGCACCTGATGCTTGAAATGGGACAGAAGGTGATATTATTTTTCATTTTTGTGAGATTTGGGTGGAATTATGGGTGTCATTAATTCACACCTATTGGATGAAAATAATACAAATGTAGAAGCAGAGACAGTATTGATTCTCTGCAAGATACATTACCCAAGAATTTTGGAAATAGAAGATTCTGACATGATAGGATTGTTCAGGTGATTGCCTGTAAAATATAATTTATATTAGGGATTAATGACACAATATGTAATTTGGAGCAAGTAGTTAATTTGGTAGAATCATTTTGTCAGAATTTCTAGGAAAATAATGCTTTAAATCTTTTTAAATGATCAAAACACTTTAAAATATTTGAGAAACATCCAGCTGTGTGAAGATTGCTGTGAGAAATTAGACTCGCCCAATTTTTTCTTTCCTTCATTACTTATGTGCACACACACTCACACATAAACACCGTTGTGTTTGTGCTAATCTTGTGAGCACTATTAAAAACTTAAGTAGAAAGTGAATTATATAATAGCTATTATTGTCAAACATCACACTTGTTCTGTCAGTCCTAAAAGGTCAAATATCATTTTTTTTTCTTTTTTCTTTTCTCTTTCTTTTTTTTTTAACCATTGTCATCATGCCTGCTTTCAGACAAGCAGAAAACCAGAAACTCACTAATAAAATTATTACTTTTTTTTATTCCAACTTCCCAGATTTTTCTAAATTCCATTAAAGTACCCAGTATGATTTCTGTCAGCTCCTACACTTCTTAAAGGTAACTTTTCTTTTAACCAATTGATTTATGCAATGGGTTATCTTGTCATTTATTGGAAAGACAGTGTTATGTGCGGTGGGAGTTGGACTCAATGCAGGAAATGCAGCTGCTGTTTCTTTCCAAGGTGACCAGTGGGTGTAGAGGCTGCTGTGCCTGTTATTCCATGCCCTGGTGGTTATTCCACGCCCCTAATGCATTTCTTCAGGGGAGACGCCTGGCCCCTCAAGGCGGCCCCTTCCGGGGCTTCCTCGCTCAGGTGAACTGATGCTACTTTGTTTACACCACCAGCACTGTGAGTTCGTTGGTCAGATTAAGAACATCTAGAGTACCCATTTCTGCAGAAGGTGAGAGAGCCGAGCATTTAGATCAGCACCGCTTTCCTTTTCAACTTTCAAATGGCTCTTAAGATCACAAAGTGCCGTTGAAACCTCTGTGATTGGTTAATGAATGCCGTGCGGCAAACAGAAAAGTTTGTTAATGTCTCACTCATAATTTATAAACAAATTCAGCCACGAGACATATTTTGTTTAACACATGGATGCCAGATATTTGAAGGGTTCTCAGGGATTCTGGGCTGGGAGCCCCTTGCTGGGGTTGATGTGGATGTCAGATTTGTGTGACAATTAGAGTTGGACCACACTCTGAAAGTAGGGTTGGCACGGCCCCGCAATCTCTGCCAGATGCATTTTCCATCGATGGCAGAAAATCACTTTTGTGCTCCAGCGTCCGTCTTCCTCAGCTGGTCAGCCTGTTATAATCCAGCCCCTCCACAGTGGCACCCCCTTCCTGACGGAACTGGACATGTCATCTGCAGACGGACTAATTGACTTTTAAGCTTGTCTGGTGTTTTTTCATCATGAGAGAAAAAACAAAACTCTCTGAATTTGTGGTCAGAATTCTCAGACAGGGATAATTTGAGAAATGATGTAGTTGCCCAAATTCCAGTGACACCTGCATTGGCTGCGCTTCTGCCAGTCTCCCTGCTTCAGGTCACATCTTGGTGTCTGGCTATTAAATCAGGACGAATCATTTTGGGGCAAGGTTTTCCCTTTAGACGCTGGAACAACATGCAGAAAACAAAGGTGGCACCTGCACACTGCGACTCGTCAAGGCCTTAATCACTCACAGACCCGAAGCTCTCTCATTAGCTGCCAAGTTATCAAATTTCACTGCTGTAGGTAAAGCCATTACTCCTGAAGACCCGATTTAAAAACGTAACTACTAATTAGGAGAAGTGATAAATTAATCCACTGGTATCTATTATTACATTAGCATGAAATAGCCCAGAGATAATGAGATTTTGCAGTATGCTTTTGCTACAGCTTTATGATGATTATGACAGAATATAAAAGTTTATATCCATTGCTTTCTTGAAATTAAAAAATACCGTGTGTCATTTAGAAATTGTATTTGGCTGTAGTAGAGCAGCAGAGGCCCCAAATACCCCAAATAATCACAATGTTGAAAAATTAGTGTTTTCCTGGGGATAAGAGAGGCTGGAGTGGTAGGTCCATGACATCTCAAGCTCCTTTTGTCTTTCTCATCTACTGTTCTTAACAGATGCTAGCTTTCCATTCTCAAAGTCACCTCATGCTCGCAAGATGGCTGCTGATTTCTAGACATCATTTTTATATCCCAGATCAGAAGAAGGAAGATGTATAGAAAGGCAAAGAGAGGTATGAGTAATTTCCTTTCCTAGAAATTCTATCCAACGACTGCAGCTTTCGTATTGAACATTCCTACTGCTTTGAGAGTATCATGCAAGTCAGATTATTGCAGCTTTGAGGATTTTGGGATGAACCGTGTCCTCCCTGTGACCTGGGAGCCCTGCTGTTCCAGTTGTGTGCATGACTCTCCTTCCATCTTGCTTGTGAATCCCTAGCATCTGGAATTCCCTCCTTTGTGACTATCACCGTAGCTTATAAACCCACTGGGAAAATATACCTGAGACAAAGAGTGGAAGAAAGCCCCTGTTGTGCTGAGTTGCTGGGGACCTGGCCTGTCTCCCTCTAACACACCAGCCTCACCCCGGATTTGATCTACAGGGTGACTCACAATTACATGAAGCTTGGCTCACTCATGTCTAGTGGAAATGACAAGCATTCATTACCCTTGAATACTGTGAGACAGGGCTTCCCAGGTGGTGCTAGTGGTAAAGAACTTGCCTGCTAATGCAGAAGACATAAGAACCCTGGGTTCAATCCCTGGGTTGGGAAGATCCCCTGGAGAAGGAAATGGCAACCCACTCCAATATTCTTGCCTGGAGAATCCCCATGGACAGAGGAGCTTGGGATCACAGAGTGGGACACGGCTGAAGGGACTTAGCAGCAGCAGCTGTGAGACTATTGAATTTCTTTGTATTAAGATAAAAATGGTTAAGTGAGATGTGTTCTTTTAAATAGAGTCTGAATGTTCTCAACTGTCTGCCCAGCGACCCGTGCACCCTGATGCACAGGTAAGGTGGTGCCTGTGATGACGGCAGTGATGGGCTGCAAACCAGCTCCCAGGTGGTGTTGAACTCTCTAAAACCAGGCGGGTAATTCCTCCCACCTTCCTCCAGACACAGAAGTGTGATGAGGAAGTGCAATGGAAGTAGGAAGCGTGGATGTGCAGCAATTGTCTGGGTGGCTTGCAGAGCAAACCTGGGAAGGCTGCAGAAAGTTGGGGGTGGAGGGGAGGTTGGCTGGTGGGACCCAGGGCGGAAAGTGTGGAGGCAGGGACAGTGTCCCTGGTGGCTTGGGTGCTGCTGTTGGGCCCTCGTGTTGTGGAGAGCAGCCTGAGTCCCTGGCTGCGAGCTCCTCTGTGAGTCCAAGACTTAAGCCAGAGGAGAAGGAGCTCGGTGGTCAAGAGCAGCAAGTGACCAGGCAGAGCCCTGCGGCCCAGGCCCCAGGTCCTGACCTCCTTGCCCTTCAGGACATGTCTCCTCCGCCTCCCAGAGCCCAGCCGCTGCTTGTCCCCCTCCCCCTCGTCAATAGCTCATGCTTTACAGCACATCACATGATTAAAAGAGGAGAACCGGGCAGGGCACGAGCCCTCTGTGTGGTCTCATAAAATATTAATGGATTCAGAAAGGAAATGCAAAATCAAAATACTCGTGCAAGCTCGGGCCTGGCTGGGCCGGTGTTTGCCGTGGGATCCGATTTCAGGCTTCACTGTGGGCGGTCCTGAGTGCTGGGCTGAGGGCCCAATGCCAGCCTGGCCCGTGACTCGGCAGAGGACCCGGCCCATGGAGGACATAGGCCAGTCCTCTCAGAATGAGAGAACGTGCCTGCCCAGTCAGTCCTTCCCCTTCTTCCCTGCCAGGACCCAGTGGGTGTGTGTTTGGAGACCCTGAGATCTGGCACCTTGCTGCAGCCCCCGATCCATCATCTCGGGGACCCCACCCCAACCCCTGAGCACCCAGGGTCCAGCCTCCTTCAGAGCAGAGGAGCTTGGCCACTGTCGCTCTCCTCTTTCTGCAGCGGTTGGTCCCGCACCCACGAGGTGTCAGGATGGGAGAATTCTTGGGTGCAGGAGAATGCTCCTTCCATCTCGACCCCAAATCTCCCTCATTCCAAGTTCCCTCTTCCCTCTTGTCTGTGAAGCAGTGTGTGGGGGACACGTTGCCTCTTCCTTCCTGGACTCCAGGGCCATGTTCTCTCCAACTCTCCTTTTAAATAGGCAACGTTTTAACACAGAGCGGGTTTCTGACAGTAGACACTTAAAACCTGTTTAAAGGGCCCCAAAGGGACTTTCCTTAAAGTTCTTGAAATAGCAGTGCCTATTTGAGGGCAATTAGGAGAAACTCACTGAACCTAAAGAGAAGTTAACCTTGGCCGTGGAGATGTGTCCATTTAGACCTGGGCTGCAGCCACGGTAAAGCCTGCTGACACTTGAAGTGGAATGTTTGCGGGCCCAGCG